GCGAAGTAAAGTTATCCCAAACTCAAAGTATTACGTTCAATGATGAGGATCTGTTGTTAGGAAATAAAAAGCATAACAGACCCTTCTTATGTTCGGCGAGATTGATGATCTCCCCATTAATCGCATAATGATTGATGGTGGTTCAGCCATAAACTTGTTACCCTTAGCACTCTTAAAAAGATTGGGTATTCTAAAGGAGACCTATGTCGCTCAAATGTTGTCATTCATGGCTTTAACCAAGCTGGTCAAGAAGCATTGGGTACCATATCTCTGGTTCTAAAGTTTGAAAATCTTATGACATATGTATACTTCCATGTCATTGATGCGGCTACCTCATATAATGTTCTTATCGGTCGCCCATGGCTGCATGAAAATGGAGTTGTTCCATCTACTCTCCATCAATGCATCAAGTATAAAGATCCTTCAGGGAGCGTAATAAGGATTTTTTTGATAAAAACCATTCACTATAGCGAGAATCCTTTTATGTTGATGCAAAGTTTTATTTTGAGCCTATTGATAAAGTCTCAAAACCAAAATCATCATTGCCGTTGGAACAAAATATCCCAAAGATAGAAGATGTCAAGTCTTCATCCAGCCAAAAGATATACCAATACATACCAAGCAATCAAAGGAAGGAAGGCGATCCGATATTTCGCATCATAAGTAAACCCTCTCAAAATAGAGGTATTTCATTTCCAACTCCTTTACCTCCTTTAGTGCAAAATAAAATAAAACAAGCCCAAATTGAAAGGGATAATAAGAGTAAATTGGTTACACAGGTCACTTTGTTAAATAAAGATGATAAAACATTACCCATCTCTTTATATGACAACAAAGTTCTTTATATTATGCAACAGATGGGCTATGATATTTCTACCGGTCCTTCTTTATGCGATGGCGGCGGGGCAGCTCGCACCATTTGAAAAGTTGATGTCTCGGGCTCGACTTGAAGCCTTGCACCAAGATCAAGCATTAAAAGAAGAGAAATATGGGTTAGGCTATGAAGTTAATATGACCTCTCAATGAACCTCTTGATGCTTGCTGAAGCATCTCCACAAATGGAAGATGGAAATCAACCAACTGTTGATGAGTTGGAAGAAATTAATATCGGCACAGACGGACGATCCTCGGCCAATCTTCATTAGTAAATATCTATCTAAAGAAAGTAAGGAAGAATACCATAAATTTCTTTCTACAAATAGAGATGTCTTTGCTTGGTCTTATGAAGAAATGCCAGTCTAGACCCAACAAAGGGTCACATGCATAAATTGGCCGCTCGAAAAGATGTTCCTCCGGTGAAGCAAGGACAAAGAAGATATCGTCCGAACTTCTCCCACAAATAGAAGCTGAAGTTGATAAACTCATAGCTGCTGGATTTATTCGAGAAGTGAAATACCCCAAATGGGTGTCTAGTATCGTGCCCACGAAAAAGAAAAAAATGGGCGAGATCCGTGTATGTGTGGATTTTAGAGATTTAAATAAAGCCTCATCCAAAAGATGAGTTTCCAATTCCAATCTCTGAAATCCTTATTGATGCCACTATGGGATATGAAATATTCTCCTTCATGGATGGTTTCTCTGGTTACAACCAAATAAAAATGTCACTAGAAGATGAAGAGTTGATGACATTTCCGTACACCCAAGGGCATATATTGTTATAAAGTGATGCCCTTCGGATTAAAAAATGCAGGCGCCACGTATCAACGTGCAATGACCATTGTCCTTGATGGGTTGTTGTATGAAATCGTTGAGTGCTATATAGATGATATCGTTGTAAAATCTAAGCACGAGAAAGATCACTTAAAACATTTGGAAATGGTGTTTGACCGCCTTAGAAAACATAAATTAAAGATGAATCCTATGAAGTGCGCCTTCGGAGTATCTTCGGGAAAATTCCTTGGTTTCATAGTAACCAAGCGTGGAATTGAAATTGACCCTACTAAAATAAAGACAATTGTCGACATGCCTCGACCAACAAACTTGCATGAATTAAAGAGCCTCCAAGGCCATTTAGCATACATTAGAAGGTTCATCTCAAACATATCCGGGAGGTGCAAACCTTTTTCCCGACTCATGAAGAAAGGAGTCCCGTTTCAATGGGATCAAGCATGTCAAAATGCATTCGAGGACATAAAAAATATTTAACAAATCCTCCCTGTCCTAGGCACGCCAATTAAAGGCGACCATTAATCCTCTATCGGCAGCCATGCCGACTTCATTAAGCGCTCTTTTGGCACAAACCAATGATGCAGGAAAGAAGTCTCCCTATATTATTTAAGCCGCACCCTATAGAGGCGAGTGCAATGCCCGGATATAGAAAAAAATATGCACGGCACTTGTATTTGCAAAGACAAAAGCTTCGCCATTACATGCTAGAACATACAATACATCTTGTCTCGAGAGCTGATCCACTCGACATATCTTAAATAAAATGACATTATCTAGTAGATTGGCTAAGTGGGCAATGTTCCTTTCACAATTTGATATTGTGTTCGTGCCTCAAAAAGCTATTAAAGGTCAAGCTTTGGCTAATTTTCTAGCCGCACATCCCATACCTGATGACTTTCCCATTGATGATGATCTGCGGATGAGGTAGTCTTCACACCACTACGGTGTCTAAGCCTACATGGCAAATGTATTTTGATGGTGCTTGCGGAAATCGGGAGCGGTAGCCTTGAGGGTCGTGTTTGTCACACCGGACGAAGCAATACTTCCATATTCCTTCACATTAACTTCAGCGGTTTCAAATAATGCTGCTGAATATGAGGCTCTAATTATTGGGCTTGAAATGGCTCACAATATGGGTTTAAACACACTCTATGTATATGGAGACTCCCAATTAATAATTAACCAATTGTTGGGAACATATATGCGGTAAAAAAGCAAGGGCTTTTGCCATATTTTTGGAAGGCAAAAGAACTAATGGCTATGTTTGTTGATCTAAAAATTCAGCATGTTATGAGAAGCCAAAATGAGAAAGCGATGCATTGGCAAGCTTAGCTGCCCCAGATGTCACTAAATCCATATCAAACCGTGGATGTTCACGTAGAGGAACGAAGAGTCCTCCCCATACTTACTGAGGAAGAATACATACCATCTACTTCAGCCATGACTATAGATACGTACGAAATTGAGATGGGTGATTGGAGAACACCTTTTCTCGATTATCTCCTTCATGGATATTTGCCCCTAGATTCTAGTGAAAGGTCTAGGATTCGAAAGAGATCACTGAATTATACATGTATAAACGACACGCTCTATCGGCGTTCATGCGATGGCATTTTACTTCGCTGCCTTGCAGGCAACGAGGTAATCAAAGCTTTAAATGAAGTTCACTCCGGAGTGTGCGGCGCACACCAATCTGGACCCAAGCTACACTACCAACTAAGACATTTGGGTTATTATTGGCCTACAATGTTTGATGATTCTATGAAATTTGCGAAGAAATGCCATGAATGCCAAATACATGGTAATTTCATACATCAACCCCATGAACCATTACATCCGACTAATATGTCTTGGCCCTTTGAAATGTGGGGAATGGATGTAGTTGGGCCAATAAATCCCCCGTCTTCCAAGGGACACAAATTCATTCTTGCCGCAACTGATTACTTCTCTAAGTGGGCAGAAGTTGTAGCACTAAAAGAAGTCAAAGCGGAAAATGTTGAAAACTTTATAAGAACCAATCTTATATATCGATTTGGGGTTCCAGCCCGAATGATATCTGATAATGGCACGTCTTTTAAAAATAGACAAATAGAGAAGATGTGTGCTAAATTCAGAATTAAGCATCACTTCTCCACAGGTTATAATCCGGCCGCTAATGGTCAAGCAGAAGCATTCAATAAAGTGCTATGCAAGTTGCTTAAAAAGATGGTCTCACAAAATAAGAGACACTGGCATGAAAAGTTACTCGAATCCTTGTGGGCATATAGGACCACGACTCGGACGCCAACGAAAATGACTCCTTACTCACTTGTGTATGGAGGAGAGGCGGTCCTGCCACTAGAGGTGCAAATTGCCTCCTTAAGAGTTGCTATCCAAGAAGAACTCAATGAAGATGAATCGGCAAAATTACGCCTAAGGGAACTAGACATCCTCGAAGAAAAACGTCTTCGTGCATTGCAAAACTTGGAGGCATACCAAGCTAGAATGTCCCGAGCTTTTGACAAGCGCGTAAGGAGGAGGTCGTTCAAAGAAGGGGATTTGGTTCTAGCGGTCATTCGGCCTATGAATATTACTCATCGAATGCAAAGCAAATTCGAGCCTAAATGGGAAGGTCCTTATATTGTGAAGGATGTCTACTCTAGTGGCGCTTATAGAATCATATCCCCAGATGGCGAGTATTGCCCACCGCCAGTAAATGGAAAATTTCTAAAGCGTTACTATGCATGAGGAAATATGCATATTACGCTCCATTGCTACAGGAGCCTAAACTGTTAGCACCCAAAAAAAAATGCTCCTTCATGAGCCTAACTGTAAAGAAGACATATGCTCAATTGCTTCATGAGCTTAAACTGTAGCATCAATTACAAAAAAAACAACAACAATGCTTCGTAGCTTTAAGAGCTTAAAGTGAAAGTAGAAAGATGCTCCTGCATAAGCCTAAACTGTAAGGAAAAAAAAAATACTACATTGCAGCATGAGATAGTCTAAAGTGCCAGTTACAAAGTTTAATTTGTGGGCAGCATGCAATCCATGGGTTTCACTATATTCGGTTACAGGACATTGGTTTACCAACTATGTATAAAAAAGAAGAGACGGATAAACGTAACAGATCAATGAGCCCTTCCAATGCATTGGAAACAAATAAAGGTTCTGATGCACATCTGAATTAAATAAATAGTTCGGAAGTAAACCACTGATAATTACAAAGCCAAATGAAACATGACACATGTCCCATAAACTGAAGAAATAAATGTTCATAATTAACTATAGGAAATAAAATACTCAAAGTCTGACATAAAGCTTGACAAAGCGAATCGAATCAGCTGGATCCATCAGTTGACTTGGGAGAGGGTTTGGTTCAGATCAGTCAAAAGCTTCTCAGCTTCCTGGATAGGAACCATCGTCTTTGCCCGGAGGTCATCATTGGCTCTCTTGTTTGCCTTTGTAGTGGCATCACACAGCGCTTGTTCTTGCTCCTTCACTTCTAATTCCTGGGCAGACTGAGTCTTCAATAGCTTTTCCTCCTTCTCCTCCAGTTCCTTCAAGGCAAGGTTAAACTTGGCAACTTCTGCTAAAAGCTCAGCTTTCCTCTCTTCAACTGAAATCATTTCCTGGGCGGTAGCTTGAGAGCATTTTCTTAACTGAAAGCTCTTGTTTAACCTGGCCAACAGCTTGGTCTACTCGCCCAGAGCTTGCTTCAAATTCAGAGTGGGCAAGTTGCAATTGTTGGGAAATAGCAACCAGTTTGTCCAGCATAGCTTTGATCTTGGAAATGCTAGCAAAATTCCCAGGGAGACTAGTCGAAGTAAGTTGCAGGGCGGCACATCGCTCCGGGTCTTTCAATGTAGTAACATCCAGCCCGTTGAGAACCTTTAGTGACACCTGATATGCTGTTGCCAAGAAAATCTTCTCGATCTCAGTCGCGTCCATGCTTTGCGTATCCTTAGATAACGCTTGGCCGGAGGATGGATGGTCAAGCTGCTGTCCACAATCTAAAAAAAAAGACATTAAACAAGTTCGTAATGGAATATGGTTGTTGCGTGCACAAACAACATCTACAGATTTAATAAAAAAAAACAAAATAATACCATTGATAAAAGCTGAAATTTCAGTTGAGTCAATGTCAGGAAGAACAACACGAGTCATATTATACGGGGACTTTGAAAAATCCCCACCTGACCCCGTGGTAGTAATGTAGCTTTCAATAGAAGGAAGAGGCTGTAAATTGCCTTTCTTATCCACTATACCGAAATCTGTAATGACTGTATAATCTTCATCTTCTTGATTGGGATCTTCGTCAACGGGAGTGACGTTGGGGACAAGTGCAATGGCTGGGCCACAACCCTCATCCATATCAGTAAAATCAAGCCTTCTCTTGGCTGGTGGATCCCCATTATCTCTTGAAAGGATATTCAAGGGTGGGTGACGCTTCTTGTTGTTCTCAACTGGCACAATAATTTGATTATCTATCAAATTCTCTTTTGCCAACAGGTTGTCAAGTAACACAGGTTGGGATGAAGGACCGGCAACAGGGTTTGTTTCAAAGTGATCCCGCTCCTAAAAAAAAAGAAAAGGAGTAAAATCAGTCATGAGAATAGAATTAATCTTCTTATAACCACACTAGTTCATATGATGGACAAGGGAGAAGGAAAATATACCATGGCTGTTTGACCCTGATAGTCGACCTGTACACCCAGAAGGTTGTGCAGCTCTCTCTTCAATGATCATTATTGGTCATCTCTTTATTCATGATAGATACAAGATAATCCTGAAGATGTTCTTCAGCTACCCTCTGCACCACAGTCAAGTCACGAGAGGATAGATTTCGAGGAGCAAGACCTGGGTGTATATGATAATCACATTGTCTAGCCCCGAAACTGATAGGGTCATAGAGGTTATCTTGGCCCAAGCTGTGTAAAATGGAGTTAAATGGTTCTATGAAAGCACTGAACCATCTAACCCAAGCCAGTGAAGCACGTCCTACACGATACTCATCTGGTATGAGATGCGAGTCCTCATATATCGGGCGTAGAAGATGTCGCCAGTGAGCATATGCTATCCCAACGTCAGATTCAGTTACCAAACTAGTCAACGGAAGATGAGGAACAACTTGATCCAACCCGAACTGTCTAGCTGCACGTTCCGGGTGGTATGGCTCCAAAATGCAAAAGTCCGTCTTGTATGTAGCAATTCTCCATGGGAGCATACCACGACGAAGTCATAAATCAAATATTCTGTTGGTCCGAAGTGAGTTTGGTTGAGCTGTTAGGTCCTCGTCAAGAGGCTCGTAGGGATTCCACAAAATATTCTTATCTCTACACAGAAGCTTATGAGCACTCTTGGGACTGAAAAGAGTTGGCTTTCTGGACATAGTATCCAGCATAGTTGGCCGCACTGAAGGATACGGGCAAACAGGGATATTGACATGCTTCATTCTGTTACCAAATACCGCCGGTATGTGATCCCCTATCCAGCCAATCAGATAGTGGCCAGGCCAAAGCTTCCTCAAAGATGCAGGATTAATAGGCTTGGTGCTAATAAGCCTTAAAGAGTAATATAAAGAACACAAAGCAGGTTGTGCCAAAGCAAATTGGCGGCCCAGAGTCATCCATGAGGCTGTCACTAGTACACCTGGTCGAATATATGGCCCCCCTCCAACAATCGCGAAGCAACATATCCAGAGTGTTAGGAATGCAGCAGTATAGATATTGGAGAACTCACTGCTATCAAAACCCGAAAGATTTCCTGGGGTGCAATGAAAGTAATCGCACCACTTTTGGAAAGTAACTTTTCCTCCGTCCTCAAGTTTGCGCCATGCCCTGTAGAGAGGCAGTAAAGTCTTTGGATACAACAGCATAGCTGGCTCCATGTGAGCACGAGATGGAATGAATTCGTCATAAGGTTCCCCATCCAGTGGTAAACCGGCCCTGTTCTTCATATCTAAGAGGGTGATTGTACGCTCTCCATGAGGAAATACGAAGGTGTTCGCAATCGAATCCCACCTCTCCAGTAGGGCTCTTACCACGGAGGGGGATATAGGGTATTTTCCTAAGGAACAGAAGATCGCCCCATAAATATAATCCTTGCCCGGTTCGCTTCCCTTGAAATGAGATGAATGATTAGTTAAAACCCTGGCAGCCCATTCATGATAACCATTAGGCATTGGGATGTGCTCTATCTCAAAATTTGCCCATCCAAAATCACCTAACACCACTCGGCTGCCCAAAGGTGAGGCCGTATCAGATCGAGGTGTAGGTGCCAGTGTGTGAAGAAAACGGGCTAGAAAATGAGGTTGAGATCTCCACGCACGATTGGGATTGGAAAAATTAAAATCCCCTTCGACCTGTTGTTCTTCCTTGAGAGCAGGGCATGCCTTTTCATTATCAAGGGGTTCATATGGTTGCAGTTTTGCCACTTCGTACAGAGGCGTCCTATGAGGGCGAGAAGGTAGTGGCGCGTCATCCATCTCCCTAAAGGAAAAAGGATGGAATAGGTGGATGCCGTAGTGCAATCAGATCCACAAGGTAACTCAAAGCATAAATCGATATAAACATATGGTACTGAGATAGATACGTACGAAAAAAAAATTGCATTCGCACGGCAAACAAAAGTCAAGCAGTGGCTGCACGAAAGCCGCGATCAAAACGATAGACACCAGGCTAATAATAAAAAATCAATCAAATTATTTACATTCCAAATGCTGAAGGATACTAATCGGCGTCGTATATGATGATTATGTGGAGAGATAATAGACAAACAGCACCATCGTACCTTCGGCACCGGTGCCGTCGTACGTCGTAGCGGTGAGCGGATACTCGTCCACCAAAACTGAAATTCTTCGGCGCTCCAATCCTTGACGATTGTAAACAGAAAGAAACCAAAGGATTTAGGAACACCATAAAGACATACGATGAAATTAAGGGAAAGAATGGGAGAACCTCGTTTGGTTCGGAGCAGGCGAGTCTCTGTTGCCGTGGAAACCCAAAAGAGATCTATGAGAATCCCCGTAGACCCTGGTTGGGAGAAGCGAATAACTAACCCCTATGTTGAGGCCAATATCCCACTACTTCCTATAATCTTGGGGATCAGGCTCATTCGTGATATGGCCCAGAAAGCCAGAAGCGGCAAGAGGATAAGTGCAAAAAAAAAAAAAAGAGAGAAAAAGAGAGAGAGAGAAAGAAAAAAAACGTGCTCATCCATGAGCCTAAATGGTACGAAAAAAGATGATTTATTGCAACACGAGCCTAAACTGTTGGCATAAAAAATGCCCCCGATGCATCTTCAATGCATCATGAGTTTAAACCGAATGCCAAAAAAAAAAATCCAAAGTTCTTAAAATTAAACTGCGACCATGGAACGAACATTTAAAATGTTATGTCCTCCAAGAGTCTGACATAAAGATCAATATAACGTGAGACTATACGTCATTGCTTGATAAATATCATTTATATGCGCAAATCTCCGTATGAATCAAGTGCCCCAAAATATGTTTCTAAAAAAAAAAGTGAGATCATAAATAAATAAATAAAATCTTAAGTTTCGAGCTCTGGATCCGTTAACATGTACGAAGTAGTTTTCGCATCCGGACCTCGAGGGGGCATCTGTTGACACCAATTTTGGATCTATCCAAAATGTGTGAGAATATTTATACCATACTAAATAAAATAATATAGATGGTCAAATTCCATTTAAATATGGTATGGTGTACATAATAGTGAAATAATATGTCTGAAAAGGAAATAGAATTAGTATGATATAATATATTTTCTGACGGCATAATCTACCATGTAAAAGTGACGTGGTGATATATGTATTAAAAAAAGAGGGAGATAAGTAGTGATGAAAAAAAAGAGAAGGAGCTGAGGCACGGATATGTCAGCTTCTTGGCATGTGCTTACAAATGGATGCCTTTGATTACTGAATGGCAGTATTGATAATAGAAAAATAGTGGATGACCGACACTCCAGCCAGCAAGGCAAAGAGAATGTATTTGCCTCTAGAATAACCGATTAAGCATTCAAGCGCGCAATTCAAAGCCATGGCGCTTCCACTCAAATTCAAATTAGCATGACTAAGTCCAATCACCGTTTCAAGAGTCCTCCACGTCGTACGTGCTGCATGTTCTCATGAACTCATGCGGTCACAATTCAAACTCCAGCGCCGGCGTCATTAGCAAAAGGAAAATTAAAACAAAGGAGCGCCAAATCTCAATGCATCTCTACCCCTGGCATATAAATACACTATGCACGGCCAGCGGTAGAAGGCCCCCCCTGCTCCATGATCGTAGTGCCTCTAGGCTGCCGCTCCATAGCCCTGAAACAAACTGTCGTTAGGCTGCCGCAGCACCGCGACTGCTCACCACCGCTCCAAGCGCCGCTCACCGTTCCAAGCGGAAGGCCACGAAGCTTATCGCCACCAAGCTGCAACACCTACCAGCAAAAAGCTGCTGGTTCTGTTCGTCGGGTTCCAAGAGAAGAAGGTGAGAGGCTGCATGGCGCTTCTCTAGTCCCTACCTCCCTGCTTCTCGTCTTGACTAATCGCGCCCACGAGCTTCATCAACAACTCGTCGGCATCGATGGCGGCAGGCCTATGTCATTGCGGATGGGCGGTGCACGAGGTCTTACCCCGTAAAGGTAAAAAGAAATGGTGATGGTTGCGCTTCACGCGCATGGGCTGCAAGCCACGGTAAAAGATCGCCAACAGCGATTGCCATGACCGCTTTGCGCATGGGCAATATGCCCCGGTGAAGGTGTAAAAGGCAGCAAATATGCCTCGGTGAAATGCGGGTTTGGATGCGTTTGGCTCCACCCGTTACGTTCATAGTGAACTTTCGGTTGGACGCGATCTTGGCTCCAACCCGTTAAAGGTTCATGGTACAAAATTGGTGGACGCGCTTTGGCTCCACCCGGTTCATGGTAAATTTGATATGGACGCAAATCGGCTCCATATCTAAACAAATCTACATGTGTTTTGGCCACAGCAATGCCGCCCATTCATATCATGCATCAAACAAAATAAAGAACTTGCATGTTACTGCCATGAAGAAAGATCATGCATCGGTTTCTATCAAATCAAAGAAACAATCATATGTGCAAATGAAACTATATAAAAAAACAAGACACTAAAAACGCACCGCATATTCAGTCCATTAGCTAGGCATGCATATCATGTAACGTGCCATTATTTCTGGCCAGCATCCGTTGTTTACACAAACCTTTGCATGATGCACAGTCATCAAGGATCATGTATCGACATAATCAAGTCATAAATAAACAAAAGAAAAAGGTTGTGCATGTTATGCTTCGTTAGCTAGCACCTCCCTTGCACAAGCCCAAAACTTGTCTTCTGCATGCCTCGCTTTGCATGTACAAAGACATAATCAAATTAAAGTACCATGCCGAACAAACCAAGATGCTAAGTTAGTGTTGCATCAAAACTGTCACATCTGCCTCACCATGCAAATAGAAGCAAAGGCTAGCGTAAAGATTGCATGCATCTTGCATCTTAATTATATTGCATTCACCCAAAACAGGTGGATTTAAATAAATAAGAAACTGAAGAAAATTAGTTTCTTCGTGCCAAATACCATGTCATGACCGCTAGTGCTAATTAGCCTACTGCAGCGCCTTGGTATAATAAAATAACTAAATGTTACAAACACATGAACTTAGCCCAAACTAAATAGGCTTTGTCATGTTCATCATAATTTCCACACATGTCATCTATGCCCGGCATAGGCTCTCCAGGCCAGGTGCCGAGCATCATGAGTAAATTAAATGTTACATCTTAGCTGATTGCACCCATAGAGGTCATGTTTAGCTAAGTCATTAGAATATATCAAATTAATAGCATCGTGCCATACCATGAGTATGCATGCTAAACTTGATAAAATAAATTAATTGCACGCACCTCGGCTGAGTCGATGATGCAAACATTTCTTTCTAGGCCATGGTAAAATAAATACTTTGACTTAGCTCAAATGAAAGATTGCACTATATGCTGAATATATCCATGAACGGGCATCTAAAAACATGCTAAATCATGATCTTAAATGATCCAAAAGATCTGTCAAATTTAGTCTGCAAAAGTAAATTGCATGCATACATACATGACAATGCACCAAAGAAATGTGTATCACTCAAACAAAACAGTTTCTCTTAGCTGACATAAATGTGTGTTGCACCACATAGTGTATAAATTAAATACATGTATATCATGGACTGCTAAGAAGCTAAACACGCTATCAACCAATCATATAAGGAATATATGTTACTCCTCGACAAATGAACTCGTGTCATGTTTAAATAAAATGACATGCATCAAGTTCAAGTCTATGCCAAGCATGCACATTCATATATCTACGACTACAAGACCGAAGACTTTGTTTTCTTTTGTAGTTTGTAACAGGAAGCCATATGATGTAATCTTATTTTTCATGTACTCATGTTGGAACTCTTAATCAGGGGTGTTCTCTTCGGAGATGTAATTAACATAATTTTTATGCAAATATAAGAATTATGGAAGTATGGACTTGCAATACCTGTTCTTTTTCTTTTGTTCCAATTAAATTTAACCAAAATCAAATTTGTATCTGCTGACGCGGAGGCGGGTCATAGCCACCCGTTTCCCCGCCATCAAGCACCACTTGAGAACTACATGGTAAGCCTTTCGAACTATGTGTTGCCACACTTTTACTTCATAAGTACATTGTAAAGATGATTATGCATGCACTGTAGGCAACTTAGCTAGCTTACCTTTCAAACAAGGCTGGAGTGTATCTTGGACATGCAGCGGGGACCGAAGGTTCATACCTTGAAGATTTAGCATAGGTACTACCCCTAGCTTTAATTGTTTTCCAATGTAGCCGGAACGATATATCACAATTTCTCATTCTACATGACATGTTTGCAGAAAGTGATGAAATCGTGTCGACGCATGGCTCGAAAGTTGAGTTGCATGAAAGCGGGAGATGTACAAGTGCCACATCCCCAACCACATGCAACATGACTAACCTGTTCAAGGAAAAGGGAGCCCATTGACACACCTAGACCCTCCCGTGGACTACGTAGGGACGACAACGACGACGACGAATTAGCAGACCCAAGTTATCATCAAGACGAGTTGACAGGGTCACAACAACCTAATGCTCCTTAACCTACATAGACTTAGGTTCATGATCCACACCTTCATTCCCTCAAAAAAATAAGCACACCTTTCATTGACACCAAACTTCAAAGTCGTGTACATGATTCCTATGTTTTGTGTAGAGTTCATCCCAATGCTTGCGCCGAGGTGAAGGACGAAACGTGCGAGGACGTGCCCATGACCGCTCTGACGTCGGCACTCCTAATGTCTTTCCCACAAATCCAGGCCACCAGCATCGTCCTCGACACCCATACACGTCCAACGTTTGAATTGCTTCCATCTTATGTTTACTATGTGTCAACTATGTGTGAACTATGTGGA